TAATGCGATATGGAAGATATTATTCATAATAAACTATCTTGGACGGTCTATAAACTGAAAATTTATAGAGGAGACGCATTGTTTTTCGCCTCTTTTTACGCTTGGAATAATATTCCAATGTTAATGCGACACTGCAGATATTATTAATAACCTTTTTAAATCTGAAGCTGTTAACTCTACATCACACCTGCATGTCAAGATCACAGTTTCAAAATAAATAAACATCAAACCTTTGATTGGATGAACTTCATGATTGTTATGCAAGGATGTAAAACGTGACAATTTGTTACAGTTAAGATCAGGAGAAAAGTTATTTTTTTATTTATGTCTGGCTGCTGCAGTTGCACCCTTTGCAATGGCTGGATAGTTAACACTTTCCAATTGCTTAGTCAGTCTGTCCATGGGGGGGAAGTGGGGAAAGGGGGGGAGGGGGCTCTCCTTGACAACTGACAGTCCTCCATATGCTTAAGTGAAAAATTAATAAAAACACCAATGTAAACATCTTATTTACATTTTTTTTAAATAAAAATGGTTGTAAAGTTCTCTTAACCCAGTGGGCAGTGATTTGTCGAATATACATATATCCATGGTGAAAATACGGCTATACGTATATATACGTCGCCGGGACATATAATCAACGTTGAACTGCAACCGTAAAATCGAAGACATTAATAAATGCATATATTACGTCGAAAACACATCTAACACAGTGCCTGAGGCTTTTTACTGTATATATCGTGTGCCGCAACTAGGAGTATACGGCACTCTGCACAGTGTACGAAGTAAATTATTTTTGCAGTGATTAATTAATTTATTATATTTATTACTATATTTATTATAAACGTGTAAATAAAGTAATAACTGCAAAAATAATTTACTTGCTATTGATAAGTGCTTCAGGATAGAAGATAACGACTAGCAATCTGGTATTTGCGATGAAGTTCAGTTTCACATTTTTCGTCACTCTCGCAATTTTTTATTGCCTGGAGCGAAAATTACCACAAGCATTCATTTTTGCAGCTACATCGACGGAGGTTCTGAATCGTTAAGAAAAAATAGTTGTAAAACCAACAGAAAGCACAGACTGATAACTAGTCCTAGTTATATAACGATTTTAAGTGTAAGGATAAACTACTGTAAGGAATCGGTCCACCTGAGCAAACAGGATCGTAATGTTGACACTCACTAACGACACTGATATGTGCCGTTCCTGGACGGAGAGTCCTCCTGCACATCAAACAGTCCGAGTGACTGTTAGTGTCAATTAGTGTTGTCTGACCATTGACAAACTACAACTATTTTTTTAGGGCGCAAGTTAAGTAAATCCTTTTGCCCAAAACTGAAGGAGCGACACAGCTCCCTCCCCCCGTGACGGCAGGCCTGTCCCCATCCTATTCCATAATGTCATTATACTGTATATAATACCATACAACAGTGACCGATCCTTTCTAACTGTATATGTTAAAATTGCACATCAGCACATAGCAGGGGGCACATAGCCGTTATGTATTATCAATGTTAAATTTCAACCATAATATCGACAACATTAATAAACGCATACGTTGAGAAAATATCTAACCCAGCATATTTTCCGGTTATATACTGTACCACAATGCATTGCTAGTATTCGTTGGTCACCATTTTGGCCACGTTTTTCAATCGTAGAAGAAGTCGGCAAATATCTCAGCAATCCTCTTTTGACGAGTACGTATAAATGATAATAATAATAATAATAATAATAATAATAATAATAATAATAATAATAATAATACTATCTTAATACATACAGATCTTACTTAATATTATTTTAATTAAAATAGTATGTTAATAAGCAAAAAATGGCACATAAAAATAGTGTGAAGGGGAAGATTACACAAAATCGTTTTGCTGTTTCTCTAATTTGAGAATCAGAAAAAACACCACATGTTCAATGGGTCATTGAAAATAAGTATGTAACATGTACCATTAACAACGTCAATGCTAAACAACCCTTAATGTTATAGTACTCCATGGATTTGTAAAGTATGTGATGATAATTTTCTCTGATTCTCCTAAAAATAAATGGATATTCTTAGAAATTAGAATTGCCTCAGCAAGACAACTTTAAGGAATAACGATATGTTTTTATGGGAAAAAAATAATCGCGGTGTTATACTCTTTTTTGTGTGATTTCTGAAATAATTTTATTGTTCTTAATTTAACTAGGCAATGATATACGGGAAATAACCGCGTAGTGTGACCTTTTTTACTCACCCTTTTAAAGTTAACAACATTTTTATCGCAGTCATTTTGTTCTTTTAATCAAATTAGATTATATAAATGTAAACAGTAGAAAATCTCTGTTAAAATCCCCAAAATAAAACTGATGACAGGAATTGCGGGACATTACCGAGCATACGGTACGGTCTAAAACGTGCAACAGTGCTGTATGTAATTTATTTACACAGGGGTTTCGCGAGGGGGTCTTGCCACCAGCCTGAAAAAAATTAATTACTGTATATGTTGATTTCTTTGAATGACAATATTTCTATTTTTATTTTCTTAAGAAAAGTTGATACCATTTCCTCTTATATTCCATCGTCCTTATAGTACCTTACATACAACAGTCACTGTGTATTTACTGTTTATTTGCATGTGTTACAATTATCTGTAGGTGCACATCAGCACACAAATGGCACACCAGATCAGACTTTATGTCAAAGCACTATTTATCCCGATGGAGAAAGCGACGTGCAGAGCTTAAATGCTCTTGCAGAATCCAGCAGTGATGATCAAGATGACAGTTTTCACATAGATGACACCAAGGACGAGAATGTGGAACAATCGTCTTGTGATATGGGTGCTTGTGTCAGTGATGACATTACACATTAGGATTCAAATGACTACGGGTACACTGAAGAAGTTATTACTTCTGAAGAAGAAATCTTGAACGAGGTTGAATATGATGTAACTGACCCCAGTCCTGAATCTACTGACCTTGTAGATGAGGCACAGACTGACCCAGCAAGGCCAAATCTATCTACCGAACTTGTAGCTTGGTCTGCTAAGCATGGTTGTAAAAGACAGTGGTTCAATGATTTATTGGAGATATTGAGACGTCAGGGGCACAAGCTTCCAAAGGATTGCAGGACTCTCCTACAAACACCTAATAAAGTGCAAATCAGTGATAAATGCGGTGGTCAGTACATTTACTTTGGATTAAAGAAAGGAATCCTGAAAAACATATCTTCTTCTAAAACATTCCAAGAAGGCATGCATTCTGTAGACCTGTGTATCAATGTTGATGGAGTTCCTCTCTTCAAATCTACATCTGTGCAGTTTTGGCCTATTTTGTGCTCTTTTCACCAATTCGAGCCTTTCATTGTAGCTTTATTTTGTGGAGGGTCCAAGCCTGAATCAGTTGATGATTATGTGAGTGACTTTTTAGAGGAGTTAAAGTTACTCACCAATAATGGCATTCACTTTGAAGATCGAGTATTTAATGTTACTGTGAAGGCTTTTATATGTGATGCCCCTGCACGCTCATATCTGAAATGCTGCAAAGGACACAATTCATACTTTGGCTGCGAAAGATGCAAAATTAAAGGGAGCTGGGAGGGAAGAGTTGTTTTCACAGGGGAAGAGGCATGTAATGATCGTACAGATGAACAATTCAAGAACTTTGAGTACAAAGAACACCAACAAAGACTTTCTCCCTTAGCTGCTGCTGGAATTGGGTGCATAAGCCAATTCTCCCTTGACTACATGCATCTAGCTTGTCTTGGTGTTGGCAAAAGAATTCTTATTTTCTTAAAGCAAGGACCACCTAAATGTCGACTGTCTGTCAGGCAGAGAAAAGAAATTTCTGATAATTTGGAAATTCTTAGCGGAAAGATACCTGGGGAATTTGCTATACAGCCAAGATCCCTCTCAGAGCTTGACAGATGGAAGGCTACAGAGTTCTGCCAGTTCCTTTTGTATACAGGCCCCATTGTGCTTCGTAATGTTGTATCAAAGGAACTATACACCCACTTTCTAATGCTAACAGTTGCCCTTTCCGTTATGTTGGACTCGGATGAAAGAAAGAGAAATGCCTATCTCAACTATGCCCAAAAACTGCTTGATACCTTTGTTGACAATGCCCAGCATTTGTATAGACCAACATTTGTTATATATAATGTGCACAGTTTGAGACATCTACATCAGGATGTGGTACAATTTAATTGTTCCTTAAATTATGTATCTGCATTCCCATTTGAAAACTTTTTACAGTCCTTGAAGAAACTAGTGCGGAACAGTCATAACCCTATAGCTCAAGTAGTAAAGAGAATGAAGGAGAAGGAAAGAGTTCAGAGCAACTGTGAAGCATCTGGTTCACGGATGTATATTTTGTCAAGACAAAAAGACTGTTGTTTCCTGTTGGATAATGAGGACTTTGCATTCGTGAAGGAGAAAAGAGCAGACAGAAGTCTTCTATGTGATGTTGTACGACAGACTCAGACTTGTAACTTCTTCACTGAACCATGTGAGTCACAACTGTTTAATACTGTATATGTTAATAGTCTGGAGGTGCATGCAAGGGAGAAATTTCTCTCTGTAAAAGAGTTGCACAGAAAAGTAGTGTGCCTCCCATATGGTGCTGTTATGTCCTTTTCCCTCTTCTACATGGCATAGAACATAATTCTGTTCCATGAAGAAGTTGCAACTTTGATTCACACAGGATGCTTCTGTCTGCTCTTTTCTCATAGTTAAGTTTAAAGTTTAAAGTTTGTGAGGAATTGCATGTAGTGAATACCATCTAACTACAAATGTATAAATAAAGCAGAATGTGTATTATTGAATTATGTGTTTTTATTGAGTATAATCATTATAAGTGAACACAAGTGTAGTAATCAGCACCACAATCTGAATTAAAATGTGTATGTCTGTTTCAGGTAATGTGGACACGCGCTGTTTGGATAGAGTAGGAGGGGGAGGTTGAGGGAGTCTTGCCCTCAAACTGGGTGGTTACCTGAAGTATGTGTGGTGGCTGAATGATCGAAAGCAGGCCACAAAACTATACAAAGAGAAGGCCAACCCTAATAAAGATACTTGGGTTACATTCAAGCTCATTAAAGTTAACCATACATCAGGTATAGCTTTCTTTGAAAATAAGAGCAAATTCCTGTTAATTATTATAAATTCCGATTGAATATTTACAGTAACTGTCTATGTACATGCATCAGTGCAACAATACCTTTTTCATATTTGATCATACGTAATGTAAATATAATTATTTGTAGACAAGAAATCAGAGTTTGATCATTTTGATTTAACCACCTCTGTTACGGATGCTGAAGACGAGGATGAGACACCCAATCCAAAACGCAAAAGTAAGAAGCGGGTGTTCTCCGATTACGTTGATTGTATGTAAAAGTAACAATCTCAATAGCTATATTTTTAACCAGTTATTAATATCAACTGATGCCTCATTAAGCTTGTACCTTATTGATTTTTTTACAACCCTTTAAAATAAGTCAATTTGAAAGGAGTTCTGTATGAAAATGTTAAAAATCTTATCAGATTTGTTGACAATGGAAATTGCTAAGAATTTTGGTTCTATGCTTATTCTATGTTAAACTAATTTTCAGTATTATATTGAAATATGATCCTTTTCTATTATATTACAGACTTTGATTCTGATGCTGCTACTCCAAGTAAGTCAATTTCTCTGCCTTCAAAGTTCCCAAAATAAAGGAAATACATTTATTGTAAAAAGTTACAGATCAAGTTGATTAAATAATTTAATTTAATATGAAATATTTTACTGCCATATTTTTTCTGTTTAGAAAAGAAGAAGCCACCGAAGCTGCCAGTGCCACCCCCAAAACTGAGGTTCTCTCCTAGGAAGAGTGTCTCGTAGAACTCACTCAGCTTTTCAAGTACGCTTTAAGGTAGGTTATTGGAATTAAAGTTAAAATGTTTTCTTAATGTCCTTAGAAGATAACCATCATCAATCATATTTAAAGACAAGTTAACACCATTTTTTATGTTATTGAAGCCCAACCATCAAAGGTGAGAACCTCCCCAAGGAAAAAAACAGTGCCGAGTTCTGGCTTCAACATTCCTGAAGGTATTACTACATTTTTTACCTACATCTAATAACTCTATGAAATTGAGATGAAATTCACAAGTTATTTTTTTTTTATTACGTCTGAGGTTATGTCACTGTACTTTCCTAAGTCTGGAGAACTGTCTACCATAAGCAAATTATATTAAAAGATTATTGGACTGGTGAAACTTTTATGTCCATACTTAAATATTAAATTAATCTGCAATATTATATTAACAGCCAAGGTAGTCCACATTGTGACCTCACCACGCAAAGCTCGAAGCCCTAAGCGAGTTATAAGACCAAAGTCTTCAACTGAACCCTAGAGTCACCATGCCTCCTCAGCTTCCTGCTCACCCTCCCCTTCTCCCTCATCTCGATCAGGTGAGGAAATAAGGCTTTATAAATGTTTTAACACAAGGCTTTGTAGACATGAACAATAGTACATTACTTGTATCATATTAATTAAATTATTAAATTTAAGAATAGTTTATGATCCCTCTGCAAATTATAGATTTGATAGGTATGAGATTATTGTTAACTTTTTAATTTCTAGTATCAAACAAGGATTGGCCAGATGGCAGAAATGATCCTGGAAGACTGTCAAAAAGTATGTATTTTTTATTGTATAAAGTAATAAATAAATCTACCCATATTATAGTTTTACACAGAATGTATTTTATGTGTAGGCTCGTATACAATATAAAAATATGTTGTGTTTTACCACAATGCTACAAACGACACAAACATATTCAAAATTGAAGCTATGTTTTTAATAAATACACCAATGGAGTTTAATTGACATTGTTTATAGAATCCTAGTTCAATGACAAACTAAATGACTAAATTGAAATATTAAGTTATGTGATAAAGTAAATGTTTTCCATAACTGAATTCTTTTCAGAGTCTCCCAGGCAGAAGACCATGTCCAGACCAGAAGAGAAGAGAGAGAGATATCCTCTTTCAGAAGGAAGTAAGTACAGTTAAAATGAACTACAGATGTGGGCATTTTTTATTTTTAAGATTATAAATTGCATGTAGCACATTAGCAACACTACAGTAATGCTAATGTGACAATAGTGTAAGAAAATCCTAAACCAATTCCTTTTAAATGCTGATATAAAATGTAAATTATTTCAGAGTTTCAGAAGCGGGTATTGGGCCTCCTGATAGGGATGAGGGATGAATTGAGGCGTTTGGGTACGTCCACAGAACTGGTGGACTCCCAATTCCACATCAGGAGGCTGACTACAATGGAAGAGTTCTGTGCATACAAGCAAGCACTTGACAGCATGGACAATCAAAACCTGCTGGTATGATATTATATTCTCACTGTGGTGTAGAAAATAGTCACTACTAATAGGTCATAATTTTATAGCCTACATCCGATTAATATGATCCATCTCTGGCATACGTTCATATTTTTAGTTTATAATTTATAATCTTGCTTATCCTTTAACGGCAAAATAAAGTGTTTTCATGTTCTAAAAAGTTACTACAAATTTATTTTACTTTGAAAAATGGTCACTTTGTGTTTTTAGACTGATAAAATACTGCAAAAAAAGTGCAGTTAATACGTGAAAATGTGTTTGTTCCATTGAATGTGTAAGTGGGTATGTCTGATTAGTTGATTAATGAAGATCTAGTAGTAAAAATAGCTTCTAATATTATTTCTAATATAATATTATTTCCAGATAAACCAACTTCAGAGA